GGTCCAACTTGACAGCACATAACAACAACAATAGATTAAGAGGTAATTCAGGTATATGTTGAAGTATATGTTAGTTGATAAAGTAATAAATCAAGAAAAACAATGTCATGCTTTATTTTAAAATTTGCCTTTATAATAATTACAGAACCAGATAAAAAGAAAATTCCCAACACCAAATTGAATGTGTTAAGCTTTTAAAAATTGTGTTTCCAGCCTTACCGTGTTCCTCCACCATCAATTGTGAGAATTCGGATTCCTCTCCCTTTCACTGGATCCACATAGCCCATTAAGGCCAAAATTTCTCTAACTGCAGCTTGAAGAGTTTCATCCTTAATTTGTCGAATACGTAATAAATACGGAATAAGTCTTTCCTATAATGAAAGGTAGGAAAGGAGTTATTTTGTTTGTTTCAAATCAAGAGTGAAAATACATAGTATTTTTCATCAACACACACAGATCATCACATATGATCAAGGTGCCAGTGTTTATTATTTTCTTAGTAATAGTAAAGGAAAGACTAGTTTTTGACATATTATGTAATATCTAGGATAATTAAAATTAGCCTCTATCCAAGTATCTTTTCAAAAAAGGTACAATGCTGAGCAGTTAGAGAAAATATAACTTGCTTAATGCAAATTTACAAAGTATTGATTGTTACAAAAAAAGTTAAGCTGACATTATAGATTTTACACATTTCTGTCCACATCCAAAAGTCAAAAGGCAAACCATGCAGATGGGTTACTGCACTCAGCTGCTGAACAAAAGTGAGGGGTTCAAGGCCACCCAGGAGTGCCTCCAAAGGAACGCCTCAACACCTACTTCGAAAAGTGCAGAAATTGAATGCTCTACAGAGCATAGCTCTCCAACACATGAGGTGACCATGAGTAGGAGCTGACTCGACGGCAACTGGTTTACTTATGATGCATGACTTGGACTATGTAAGATTAAGGAAGGTCACATTACCAAAGATTTAAATAATTTTTCAGCAAGATGATTGTAAAAAAGTAGAGCAAGTGAACTAAATTAATTTACAATTTTCTAAATGGAAAGCTAAAAATAGTCATTAAAAATTGGGAGAGGAGATCCGGCAAGATGGCGGACTAGGCAGAAAGTCTGCACAGACCCTTTTCAACAAAGAAAAGGGAATCCAATTAACACAGACACAGAAGATAATCCTGGACCCCTGAGCCTTGAAGGGAAGGATACAGAAGTGGACTAAGCCCCAACTAGCATAAGAATTTGCATGAAAATACCAAAAAAGAAGACAGGCTGACTTGTGGTCTGGCAGCAAACCTGACAGCACAGACGACTTGGAGATTCCCGAGCGGTGGTAGGACCTAAGAATTAACCTAAAAATCACCCTGCTAGCCAGGGACTACACGGAGGATTGTGCACGGT